GATTTATCAGTCAGATATGTATTTTAGTAGCACTCTGAATCAGTATTTCGCAATGTAAAACGTTTTATTTTGAATATAATTGCGAATTGCGCACTCTGATTTTATGTCAAGGCGGGGTGTTACATACTATGTTAAACCTTGCGGGTAGACGATCGTCTGACATAATGGTTAAGGTTCTGAGTGGTACTAATTTCGGAAATGAATAAGAAGTTGATTAATTATTTTGTTAGTAATGTAATTAATGAACGGACGTTATATCTTAAACATAGGGAGGTAAATCGATCAATCTGATTAATATTATTTAATCATAGAGGCTCAATTTTATTGGTAAAATAGTGGCTAAATGGGGAGAGCAATAATATTACTCTAGTGAGATGTTTTATTAGTTAATTCCATTTAAATAGGAATTAATTTTATTCCATATTAATTAATTTAATTAGGAGAATAATATTCCTACTAGAATCTTCTCTTGAGATTTGGAGACTAAGGAGTCTTCTAGAAGATGGATATTAGTAGGAAATATATTTTTTACATTAGATAATTAATTGGAGTAGAATTAGGCTTCCTAAATTAGGAATTAATTTTATTCTATGATTATTAATTTAATTAGGAAATGTATTTCTACTAGGATCTTTTCTAGTGTTAGGAGACTAAGGAGTCTTCTAGAAGAGTTAGATTAGTAGGAGATCTCCTTCCTACATTGAATTAATATTGGAGTAGAATTAAGATTCCTAGGCCTAATGGGATAAGCCCATATTTAGCACCTTCTTAAGGTCCATAATGGAGCCTATAAATACACCATGTCTCAATCTCTCCTACATAGATGTGTTAGCCGATTTTCTCATCTACATACGCGCGAGAAATATCATCATTCGAAAGTTAGGGAGATTCGATTAAACGCTCCACCAAGTTTAATCGAAGTAGCTGTTTAGGTAATCCATTAGAAGGCTTTTTGGTACAATATATTGAGCCTCTAATATATATATAATTCCGATCATCATCATCACATCATCGCCGCCTATCGCCGCGGTAAGCCACCGCCGGATATCGCTAATCGCCGCCGGAAGCCGCCCGATCCCAGCCAAGCGCAACCGCCCGCTACCGCAAGCAGCCGCGCATTGCCCAGGCCCGACGCCAGTTCCTAGCAGCGACGCCCAGGACCACCGCACGAAGGCCCGACGCCTGTTCGTGCAACATCACGCTCGCCTATCGTCCCCAGCGCGCGACTGCAATGCGTGCACCATTCGCGAGCGCCCAGGTCTCCTTGCTGCGCACGCCCGCGTGACCTCATACGCCAGCACCCAGTCCACGCCCGCGTGACCTCAGACGCCAGTGCCCAGTCCGCTAAGGCATAGGAGTCCTGCCCGCATGCACGCACACGCCTGAAGTTGCAGTGCCCGTTCGCGTACCCAGCACTTCGCGCGTCCCGCTAGTGCCCAACGCGCATCCATTGCCGCCTGCGCACACGCACGCTGTCCACGCCCGACGTGCACTAGCTGTCGCTGCACCCCGACGTTCGAGACCGCGCACCGTGTGATCAACCTCGTTGGAACTTTCGATTAGAATCGATTAAAGGCCAAATCTACCTGCCCATTAGATTGTGGTGTTCAGACGAACTACATCAACGGCACTCTACCTCGTCTCAGAGTCGACAAAAATTTTAAAAGGTAAACGTCCATATCCTAACTATAGATTCCGCTGCGTTAGGATTTATTTCGATAAGTTCAATGATGTGCATGTTGTTTGACGTTCCTCACAGAACCCAACACTTGTTTTGTATTATTCGTGTCTGTGTTTGTGTTTGTACTTGTGTTTTAGGTTTGGGCCGTTGGCCTCGTTAGCCCGAGTGTGACTTTATTATCCTATTGAGATCGTACACTCGGGCATTACCCTGTTGGGGTTTTTTCTTTTCTTTTTCTTTCTCCTCTTGGGAGCTCTTAGGGTCGTTGTATTTTTTGTGTTTCTGAGTATTACCATGTTGGGGTCGGTTCTAGGCGGTCTTTTGACCTATCCTATCAATTTATTCAGCTATTGGCGGTTTGTATTCAACTGTTGGCTGTACTTTTGCACTTTTATATGATTTTATATATAATATCTCTAACATTTCGGGAAAAAAATACACCAATTATTTAAGATTTTAAATAATATATGCATAATATAATATATAGAATTTTATTTACCTTTGTGCTTGTGCACATGATCCTAGTTAAGTTATAATTTATCAAAACGGTAGTTAAAAGCCATTAACTCTATAATTAGAAAGAATTATGCTACATTCATTTTAAATTAAGCCTCCTCGTTTGTTTTAGAAACTTATCCTAAGGTCATCTCACCAATAGCTCGCCGGCAACTATAGAGGAAGCAACATGCCTGTTGTGGCGGGGTGGCTTTTTCTTTTGCCTTTTTCTTTCACAATAAGACCTGGACAATTATCCCTACCCTCGATAGCTTACGAGCTTACATCCAACCCTGGAGTTTTATCTTTAAAACTTATTAGTTTTGTTTATAAATTAGATTTCAAGTGTACGTTGAAGTATATGAGAGTGTACAGTTTTTATGTAAAAACACATAAATAATGAAAAAGTGAATATATAACTATAAATAATACCAAAATAAATTTAGATAATTAGTAAACAAGAAAACTAAGGGTATGTTTGCATACCAAAATATTTCAACATTTTACCTCAGCCATTTTTTAACTCAACTTTAACTTAATTCCACTATTATCAGTATTAATCTATCATTTATTCATACACACTACATCAACTTTAATTCACTATTTATCCACTTGACAATTGCCTATAAAACCAAAGGTAAAACATTTTCTCTGAAAATGTTTTTATAATTGTGTAGGCACATTGTCAAATTTAAGAAGGAAAGGGATGGAGGTAGAAGGAAGATGCTGCTGGTGTGGGGAGGATGAGGAAACTTTGGAGCATTTGCTGTTTAAATGTGGGAGAGCAGTGAGGGTGTGGAAAATTGCAGGGTTAGAATGGAACAGGTTTGAACAAGACAATATGCACTTCAGGGTATGGTGGAGGATTTGTGTTGTATTAAAAGGGAGAGGAATGGAGAAGATAGGATTTCACTGTCATCATACATTATGTGGTGGCTGTGGAAGACGAGGAATGGGTGGATTTTTGAAAAGACATGGACATCTGAGAAGCAGGCAGTTGAAAAAGCATATGCAGAGTGGCTGGAGTATGATAATTGGGGTAGGAGCAAGGAGAAGGATGATGCAGAGAGGCAAGGAGTAGGGGTCCAGGGGACTGGACTCAGTGCTAATGCTATCTCTGAAATGGAAAATGCGGGTATAGAGGATCAAAGGGATGGACTATCTCGAGGAGCTGATCATAGAAGGGGAGAAAATGTATTATGACAGTTTCTTAACAGCCCCTCAGTTCAGGGGTTTGGTTTACTCTGTTTTTTATTCAGATTGTATTTTGGTTTCTTGTTTTTCTTGTTCTGGTTTGTTGTTTTGGTTTCCTCGTTTGTGAGGTTCTGGCCTTGTTGGTCGTGTTAGGGGCTGTGCCTGAGCAGTTTCCGGGGTCACTCTAGATTGTGTTGTAGCAGTCCAGTGTGTATCGTATAACCAGTTGGTTATGCCTCTGTACATTTTTTGAGTTTTAGTTAATGAAATTTGTTGTTTTGATTAAAAAAAAAACTTATTTTCAATTTTTTTTACAAGAAATAAAATTAAATAATTAAAAAGTTATCAAAATTATGGCAACAAAATATATTGTAAAAAAGATTTTGGACTTCCAAATTCGTACATGTTTTCAACTGTAATGTCAAGTCTACGTATTTATTACTATAGTTTATCTAAAAAAAAAAAAAA